CTGGGCATTAAAATAGTTTCTATCTGATCCATCCCATGAATTAGCTTTCTGATTTGCCCTTCCCTTGACAGCCCCTTAAGTGTTGGGTATCTTGTATTTCTTAATAGTTTCCACAAACTTTGCAAACAGCAGTCACTCAATAAATATGTTTAACTGATTGGTAATTATAGAATTATAGCTACGGTATAAAAAACCTATGACAATGAGATTTTCCTCCCTAAAAATGTCTGCTGGACATTCTTGGTTTGCAGGTCAGTCCCTGAAGAGGAATTAGGACTGTCTTGTCTTGGGTGATGCCTTGTTTATGTCCTGTGCCATCAAATCATTTACATACTCTTTATGGAGGACCACAGTGGTGGGATGAGGAACATTTAAGCCAGTTTCCCTTACAGCTCCCTCATGAGCTTTCGCCTGTACATTACCTACACTGCTGTAAATCCCTGGTGTTTTTAAATTCAGTTCTATCAGGTTACAGGGCTTTGCACACACAGAGACCTGGGTTTGAAACTTGGTCCAACTGCTTAGTAGCTGTAAAATCCTGGGAAAATAAGTATCTCTGGACGTCAGCTTCTTCATCTTTAAAATATGGATGACTTGGAAGAGTGTTGTAAAAGTAAATGAGATTATATTGATGTAAGAAATGTCTGAGGCACAGTAATTGCCCAATAAATGGTTAGTTATTATTATTAAAAAGAACAGGAAGACACAGCAGGAGGAGGAAGAGGAAGGTGTAGGAACATTTCCTAATTTTTATTTTCCTTCCATTTGTTTTCTTGGGGCAGGAAATGCCCCCACTGGCAGCTCTTGAGAAAGGCTGGAAATCTCATTTTCTGAGTGCAGTGAGCAAAACCATTCATTTCTGTCCATCGAGGATGATTTAGATATGGACCTGCCTTCGGGCAGGGCAATGAGCAGCTACAGACACTGCAGAGGCAGTGATTTTTTACTTTTATCCAAGAATGGTTCCTGGCACATATGAAGCACTTGGTAAATGTCTGTTTGTTGAATGAACCCCTTCTAGCCCAAGGCCACACAACATGCAAGTTCACCTCCTGGACTCCCCATCATGGTGTTCCACAGGGCCACTGGTCCTGCCCCTCACATTTATCCCATATGAATCTCCTACTGATGCTCAAAAATAATACTGCTGTTTCTGTGGCTACGTCAGCACCGAAGGCCTGTATCCACAGGAGAATCCTGGGAGAGGGGAGGCTGTCCTGGGCATACCTGGGCAGCAGAGCTGAACCCCACCAGCCAGCACGGTGGTCCTTGAGTCAAGCAAGTGACAACTCAGCAGGTCTAATTTGCAAACAAATACAAAAAAAAGAAGAAGAAAAAGAAGATGAAGGAAGGGGAAAGATCAGCTATTAGGACTACTCTGATGGCAGGCATGGGAAGAAATACCTATTTTCTAGAGCTAGGCTTTATTTGAGCAAAGCTAAGCAACACTACACTTTTTCTTTCCTGATAATACTGGCAAAGAAATATAAAAACCAATGTAAAATTTGCCTGCACTTCAATTTTATAATGCTATACCATGGGTGAAAAAAATCTGCCAAATAACATATAGGAACTAGAATGGAAATAAGCATAATCTTAAAGTGGTCCTAGGCTTTTTTAAAACAAAGGACAGAACACCAGTGAGCAGCAACAACAATGTGACTTTTTCTACATAACGTGCAGCATCCATGATTGAGGCCAGGCTGCACCTGGTCACAGGAAAGGAAAGAAAACACCAGCCCAAGGACTAGACTATGCGTGATGTGTGGGAGGGCTGCTCGGTGTGGTTTCATTTCAGAAACACTGTTGTGGCTGGGCCTCCAGATCTAACACCTCCTTCAGAGAACAGCGTCCACCTACGTTGGGATACACATCCCTGGCCAAATGCAGCACTGTTCTCGCCCTTCAACTAAACCACGGTGACATCTGGGAAGAGAAGTTGGAGGGAGTGAAGGATGAGCCACTTTTGCTTTTTACTTGATCTATTTCTGTACTGTTTAAAATGTCTTATAAATAGCATGCATTACTCTATTGCTTAAAAATACATACATATATATTGCCCAAATTAAAGCATGCCTATTCATCAGCAACAAGCTGTTTTAATCATTTAAACTCTCCATTACCTCCTTCCTCACCTTCACCTTCTCTGCAGGCCACAACCCAAATCCTTGGTAAAAATCAGCTATTGGTTTGACTATTAGTAACTGGAATAGCTAACATTCTTAACTCTCCAATGGGCAGGTCTTGGGTAGAGAGTTCAGGGTGAAACCCACCCGATTGCTTCATTCTTGTCCTCATGTGGTCATAACCAATGGGTCCTTGAACGAGAGCCACATGGTCCTAATAAGTTCAGAAGGCCCATTTCCCCTCACAGATGGAGAACCCTGAGGCCTGAGTGGAAGGCAAGCCAGGGCCACTGGCCACAGCTGGGTCCTCTCCAACAGTAGTACTTTCTCTGCATGTCCCTGTGTTACTCATTGCCCAAACCTCCCTTGTGAGTCATGCTCTGAGGGCTACAGGGCAGGGCAGTGTGGCCTTTTCCAGGAGGCATGTCCTGAAGCTACCATCACAACTGCCATACCTACCTCCTGGGGCTCCGAGTCCCCGCTGTGTCTCCCCACAGCCATGCCCCCCCTGCCTCAGCCATCCTTCTGAAGAGCCCACCTGTCCTTCCGGGTCTGCCCTGCTGAACACCACCCCACACCCAGCTGTCTCCTGAATACCCCGGGGGCCTGCACACCCCTTCCGGGAGGGATGCAAACCCTAATGGGCAGAAAGGAACCAATGTGGTCCCAACAGTCAGAACCGTCAGGGATGAAATTAGCAAGGTGGAAAAAAAACAGCTAGCAGGGCTTGCACAGGGTGTAGCCAGGGAAGCCTCTCTGAGGTCACCTTGATGTGAAGTCCTGGGGGATGAGCAGTAGTGGCCAACTGAAAGCAGGGAGGAAGGAGTCCAAGTCAAGGTGATAGGTCAGAAGCTCTGGGGAGACATGGGTGTGCCGTGGCCCCTCCCTGAACCTCCAGGCTGATTTGGTGAACAACCTATTCCTGTATCTCTACTCTGTGGTCCAACAGGCACCTCAGCCTTCATACATTCAAACCAATGCCCAATACACCTCCACCACCACCACCTTGCCAAACCCTGCTCTTCACACAACATTTTCCATCTCAGTGAAAGGCAACCTCATTCTTTCAATTACTTGGACCCCACACCTAGAAGTCATCCTAGGCTCCTCTCTCTCAAATCCTAGTGCCTCAGGTATCCTACCACCTCTTCCCACCTCCACTGCTACAGCCGGTCTCAGCCATCATCATCTTGCACCTGGATCACAGCCAGAGCCCCTGGTCTTCCTGCTTCCTCCTCACCCCTCCACTGCCTATTCTCCATGCAGCAGAGGGATGCATTTTTAACACAAGAGCAAGTGACCCCTTGACTTCTCTGCTCAAAATTCCCAATCACTTCCTATCTCATTCAGATAAAGCCGGGCCCCTACGATGGCCTTCATGGCCCCACATGGCCTGCAGCCTCCTCTGCCGCTGCTCCCGCTCTGGCCTCGGTGCCCACAACCCCTGGTCTCGCTGCACCTGACACGCTGCCCCTCAAGCCAACCAAGCATGTTCCCACTGCAGGGCATTGGCACTGCTGTCTCCAGCATGTCCGTGGCTCACTCCCTCACCACCTTCTGTCTCTGCTCAGATATCTTAGTGAGGCTGCGCTGTCTTTAAGCAAATGGGCAGTGCATTCTAAACAGGATCATCTGGAGCTTGTCTAAGAGAAAGTTAAGGGAAAGATCAAAGAAATGAAAAGACACCCAAACACAGAACGTGCTCTGTGTGTGTGTGTGTGTGTGTGTGTGTGTGTGCATGTGCGTGTAACACACACACACACACACACACACACACACACACAGTTGCCCCTCAGTACCCACAGGGAATTTGTTCCAGAACTTCCTGTGGATACCAAAATCCATGGGTTGTCAAGTCTCTGACATAAAATGGTGTAGTGTTTGCTTACAACCCATGCACATCCTCCTGTATACTTTAAATCATCTCTGGGTGACTTGCAACACCTAATACAATGTAAGTGGTATGTAAATAGTTGTTATATTGTACTGTTTAGGAAATAATGACAAGGAAAAAAGTCTGTACATGTTCAGGACAGATGCAACCATTGTAGGCCTAAACTACATTTTTGACCCACAGTTGGTTGAATCTGAGGATCTGGAACCTGTTCATGCAAAGGGCTGATTGTGTGTGTGTGTGTGTATTTTACTAAACATTACGTACATATTACGCATACACACACACACACAGGGGTTGACCAACAGTGGCTACTGCTGGGTGGATGAGTGTGGGTGACGTTCCGTTTCTTGCTCTGCATTCTGGTTATGGTATACAGAATGGTTTGTTTGTACAAGTCCATCAAGTAGTTTATTTATGATATACGTATTCTTCTGAATTTGTGTTTATGGGTCAATACAAGTTTTTTTTTTTTTTTTTTTTTTTGGAGTCTTTTTTCTTTTTTTTTTTTTTTTTTTTTTTTTTTTTTTTTTTTTTTTTTGAGATGGAGTCTTACTCTGTCACCCAGACTGGAGTGCAATGGCATGATCTCAGCTCACTGCAACCTTCACCTCCCAGGTTCAAGTGATTCTCCTGTCTCAGCTTCCTGAGCAGTTGGGATTACAGGCACACAGCACCATGTCCAGCTGATTTTTTGTATTTTTAGTAGAGACAGTGTTTCACTGTGTTCCCCAGGCTAGTCTCAAACTCCTGAGCTCAGGCAATCCACCCACCTCAACCTCCCAAAGTGCTAGGATTACAGGCGTGAACCACCACACCCAGCCTTTTTTTTTAAAGAAAGCTTCACTAATATGAGATTCACATATGTTGGAGACACACAGCTAACACACACTCCCTTTCTGCAACATTTGAGAGCAAAATTTAGTAACCTCATGAAACTCAACTAAGTAGAACTTTGTCTCTCTATGCAAAAGACTTACCATCCCACGGCTGCACTGGTCAGGACTGCATCAAACAGCAATATTGATAAGCCAGCTGTGATTATCTGTAGGAAGAATTTCGACAAAAGGTCATCATACCAGCAGGGCTCTGGCAACCTCCACTGTCATTTTTTCACAAGCTTAGTTCATTTTATTTGGGATTCCTGCCATCAGCCACTTCTTCCCACTTCCCATGTCCTTTTCCCCCACATGCTTCCTAGTCAGCCCTCCGTACTTGGCGGCGCCTCTGAGCCAAGCATTTGATATAGAAAAGGCTAAGTCCTGGTCTGTTTTGGAAGTGAGCATGTTCGAAGAAGCATTTAACTTCCAAATTCTTCAAAAGGGAGGTGTACAGCCAAGGCCGCCCTCATCTCTCTCCAGGGAAGGGGTATATTAAGAAAACTTATTTCCATTTTGTCTCAGCAGTGCAGAACTTGTCTCCAAGGTCAGATGTGCTCATTAACCTGTTCCCAGATCCTCCAGATAAAAATGTATCTGTCACCCAGCCTTCATCCAATGCATCGTCTCTTCGTCCACTCCTACTGCTACCATCTTTCTGATCCATGACACACATTCTAAGAAAACAGGTGCATCCTGGGAAAAGGAGGTCAGGAGTTCAAGATCAGCCTGGCAAACATGGTGAAATCCCATCTCTATTAAAAATACAAAAATTAGTCAGTCATAGTGGTGCATGCCTGTAACCCCAGCTATTTGAGAGGCTGGGGCAGGAGAATCGCTTGAACCTGGGAGGTGGAGGTTGCAGTGAGCTGAGATTGTGCCACTGTACCTCAGCCTGGGGAACAGAGTGAGACTCCATCTCAAAAAAAATAAATAAATAAATTTGCAAATATCTAGATGCTGGAGGAGAGGGAAGTGTTACCTCCACATCTCTCAAGGCTGGAAATTCCGGAAAAGTGTTTCAGGAATGGTAGCCACAGGACTCAGATCCCAGAGGTGCCTTGAACCCCTCAGCACCAAGAGTGTGTGTGAGCCAGGGGCCCAGCTCTGTCCACACTTGGAATGTCTGCTTAAGGAAGGATGCTTCTGGCTTCCAGTCTTCTGCATCCTGCAGGTCAAAACAGGTTCTGTGGAGAAGGTAACCTTAAAAATCTGCTTTCTTGCTGTAAGAGGTGGGATGTAGGCTGCGTTGGGAGAGGTTCCGTTGAGCTGGAGGGCCTCAGAAACGTCAGCTACCATCTCCCTCGGGGGGATTTCACATGCTGTCTTGGAGGCCTCTTTAGGTCTCCAAGCTGGGAGCAAGGCAGCAGGCAGGCAGGCAGAAGGGAGTGTGTTTATGAACCTCATCGTCACTCGTTTGCTATCTCAGAAAGAAGTCTGGAACTAGAAACCCAGAACCCTCATGATAGGATATAAACTTGGTGAGATCTGAGGACTTTTCTTTCAAGTCAAGTCATTTGGTATCACTTTCTGCCTTGCTTTATTGATTTGTAGCAAAAACCTTGACTACAAAAAAAGACCTGTGTATTGTCTTTAGGGGCAGTAAAGAAGTAGAAGCCCAGCCAGAGAGATAATTATAAGAATGCAAAGGACAGGGAAAGAGGTTTCACTAAGTGGAGACTAGTGGTGGCTTTTTCCTTAAAGAGCATATTGAATGACAAGTTTTGAGTTGATGCCCATGATGAATGTCCCTCTTTTCTTTTTTTTTTTTTTCTTTTGAGACAGGGTCTTACTCTGTCGCCCAGGCTGGAGTGCAGTGGTGCAATCTCAGCTCACTGTAGCCTCGACCTCCCAGGACTCAAGCACTCCTCCCAGCACAGCCTCCAAGTAGCTGGGACTACAGTCACACGCTGCCACATCCAGCTAATTTTGAATATTTTTTGTAGAGACAACATCTCACTTTGTTGACCAGGTTGGTCTTAAACCCCTGGGCTCAAACAATCCCACCCGCCTTAGACTTACAAAGTGCTGGAATTACAGGTGTGAGCCACCACACCCAGCCCTTTTTTTTTTTTTAAATTTAACATTTAATTTAGAACTTCCGCATCTATGGTCATTATTGAAGGGGGCTAGAATGTGACTACCTCTCAATGCAATTGTCTGGTCTTGGAAACAGTGTCGTACTAACCACATAAGTGAGTTCATCAGCTTCTCTGCTTATTATCCTGCAATGGTTACAGACAATTTTGACTCTGAAAGTTACCCCTGACTTGAAAGGCCCTGGGCCTAGACAGATCTCCTAGCTGGGGGAGATCTTTACTGGCTATTATCCTAATTAAGTCTTCTCTTTCTTGTTGCAAATTTTCCATTTTCACTTTCCCCAGAAATGTATTTCATCTAGTTCTCCCAATTCATTAACATTTAGCTGTTTGGAGAAATATTTCACATTGTTTGTACCCGTTTTGATTACCTTCCTTTCTATTTATTTATTCATTTATTTTTGTCATTTTTCTCTTCATTCCCCTCACCCCCTTCATTCGTCTTGACTAAAGTTAACCACGTTGTTAGTCATTCTTTCCTTTTGCAACTTCTTGGACATGGCCTGGGATGGTGCCAATGGAGATGTATTTCTTGGACCTGCTGAGAAAGGCTCCGTCCCACTGATGGATGTTGGCTGTGCTGGCAGCTCCGCATAATGGAACACTCCGCTTGATTTATAAAGGACCCAACTTGTCCTTTCTATGTTCTCAGCATTGTCTTTATCATCCTTGCCTGTTTTAATTAGCTCTTCAAGGCCTTCTTTGATCAGCTTCTCTCCTTCTTCTCTGACTACCTTGCTCAGGTGGCTTTTAGTATAGTTCGTAAAGGGGGACGCCTGCCCTGTGCGCCCCCTCCCCCAGCCTGGGACTTGTGTCTCTGCTCCTCCATGAGCCTCTTTAGCTTAGGAGGAATCGTGTCTGCAGTGAGATAGACAGCTGGCCTGCTTATTCCTCTGAACTGCACCTTTCGCCAAGAAAAACACATCTTTAAAAATTTTAACCAGCCCTTACTTGAAAAGAAGGCTGGTTTAGCAGCCACACTGGTGCCTTCGCCATCTGCTGCTTCCTGGAAATGTTTGTGTAGTCTCCTGTCTTCTCCTGAGCCACCTTTTCAAAATTCTCTAAAGATTTATCACTCAAGGGGCAAGTGTGCCGTTGCCTGAGACCCTTTATCTTATTTCCGTAGAGAACGCTGACTAAAGTTGTTTGCACTGTGGGGTAACTGTGGGGTCGGATGGGCTCCTTCTTAATCTGTAATGATGGTACAAACTGATGGCACAAACCCTCAGCTTCTCAGGCTTCTCCGCTTTCTTTTACTTCCATCACAAGCCCAGTGGTCAGCTCTCTTTTTGGAGGCATGTTCTGTCTCTCTTCCTCTCTCTCACGTGCACACACACACACATGCACATGCGTGCACACACACACACACACAGAGTCACCAAAGTTCTACCATTTCATAAAAGTCAGTTCAAAAGAAAGGACAGATGGACATGGTGGCTCACACCTGTAATCCCAGCACTTAGCGAGGCCGAAATGGGCGGGTCACCTGAGGCCAGGAGTCCAAGGCCAGCCTGGCCAACATGGTGAAATCCCATCTCTACTAAAAAAATACACCAAATTAGTCAGGTGTGGTGGCAGGTGCCTGTAGTGCTGGCTACTTGGGAGGCCAAGGCACAAGAAGCTCCTGAATCTGGGAGGCGGAGGTTGCAGTGAGCCGAGATCACACCATTGCACTCCAGCCTGGGTGACAAAGCAAAACTCCATCTCAAAAAAAAAAAAAAAAAAAATCAAAAAAGAACAAGGAACAGCCAACAACTCTGCTCAACAAGAAGGATGCTGGGCACTGGCCAGCTTGGCTCCCCATTGGAGGACTTGCCCCCATGCACTGCTCTCATTGTGGGTAAGGTTCAAATGCACGTCTCAGCAAAGTGACATATTTCTGTACAGCAGGAGCCTTTGGAGCTGCTCAAGAACACTCAGAAGTGAGACTGTTAAATCTGCTCATGCCAAGAGGCCACTCCATTCCTAACTGCATTGAGGAGGAAATGGAGGCCAGAACAGGTGGAGTGTGCCACGTCTGGTACAGAATGTCCCAGGTGTAGTCACCCAGGGCAGAGCCCAAGAGGTGAAGGGACTCCCTTAGCTCACAAGTGGGAAGACCATGACCCGGAGATGGTATGTGACTGTTCCAGGGACCCAGGGAGTTGGTGGCAGTGAGGAACAGAACGAAGGCCTTGACTCCTAGATCAACTTTCTCCAACAGCCAAAAACTCAAGGGCCCACACAAGCTCTATACAGCTTTTTAAGAGAAAAACCCAGTGAAAGCAGCGGCTCCAGCAGACATCTGCACACCCACGTCCACAGCAGCACCACTCACAACAGCCAAAGCTGGAGGCAATCCAAGTGTCCACGGAGGGATAGACAGAGAAGCAAAATGTGGGGCATACCTACGATGGAATATTATTCAGCCTTAAAGAGGAAGGAAATTCTGATTAATGCTACCCCGTGGAAGACATTATGCTAAGTGAAATACACCAGATACAGAAGGACATATAAAGTATTATTTCACTTATATGAGTTACTTGGAATTGTCAAACTCATAGAGACAGAAAGTAGAATGATGGCTGTCAGGACCTAGGAGGAGCAAGGAATCGGGAATTAGTGTTTAATGGGTACAGAGTTTCAGTTTGCAAAGAAACATTTGTGGAAATGGACAGTGGTGATGGTTGTACAATGGTATGAATTTAATCAATGCCACTGAACTGTCCAGTTATAAATGGTTAAAGTGGTAAATCTTGGCCAGGGACAATGGCTCACATCTGTAATCCCAGCACTCTGGGAGGCTGAGGCGGGCAGAGGCAGGAGAATCACTTGAACCTGGAAGGCGGGGGTTGCAGTAAGCCAAGATTGAGATTGCACTATTGCACTCCAGCCTGGGCAATACAGCGAGACTCTCTCTCTGTCTCAAAAAAAAAAAAAAAAAAAAAAAAAGTAAATCTTACACTTATTTTAACACACACACAAAATCCATTTCTTTCTCTCTGCTTAAATTCTTAATTCTTACCCCTTTCCCCAACTTTTTTTTTTAAACAAAATATTTTTAAGAGTTGAGGTCTTGCTATGTTGTC